CTGCCAACAGGTTAGGAATCTCATGAGAGTGCTTCTCTAGTGAACTGGATTTGCCATGCGTTCCTGTGCAGTGATTGTGGGGCAGAATCCTTCCCATGTTCTCACATCCAGGGTGCTCCAGTGGAGTCATTCAGTGATCATGACTACAGCCTAAGAATTAAAGCAGTGTTTGCAGCCTTTTTGTTGCTCCTTGGGAGGCAATTTTGGTAGCGGATTCACATAGTTATAAATGCACTGGCCATGTCCCATAACACTCCTGCATTATGGTATCAAGAAAGCTGCTCTGGAACTTTATAATTCCCCTGAATATCTCGTCTGTAGCTGGAACTCCATGCAAGTTCTGTTGCCTTTAAATCCCTCCACAGCCTGCTGTGGGATTTGCCCTGAAAGTGAAAGAAGCTACATATCACGATCCACTCTGTCCACACCTATAGGATAATGAATCTGGGTCCACCCAGAGTTCAAGTGAAGTTGTTTTACAGATCATCATGATCCTACTGTCCTTTATTCAGCAAGAGTTGCCTTTGATATACGATGTGAATAAAAGACTTTTTCCATTAAGTTGCAATGATTCTAACTTTCATGCATCATTTGACAGAGAAAACGAGAATTTGCAGACATAATAGCTAATGTAAAGTATATGAGTCTGCAAGGCAGTTAGATGGGTAGGAAACTAAGTTTACATGTTAATGTTACGGAGGTGTATGCAGATGATACAGGTGCACAAAAGTGTCCTTTGATGTGAATTTGTACTAAGAGTTAAATGCATAAATCTCTGGATTGCCTTATCTGAGGCAGGCTGTCTTTCTGTGTTCTGTGGTAGAACATGGGCTATAAATGTCAAATGAATATTTGCATGCAGATGGTAGAGTTTAAATTTGGAAGAAGCAAAGTAGAAAGCTTGTAAGCAAAGTCAGTAGAAAATCTCTCTTAACAAGAGAGAGTCTACTATAGCGAAGCTCTTTGGAAAAAAGACTATGTTTGTACAGTCCCAAGCTCTGATCCCAATTTGGTGCTTTTAGTCACTACCTTAATATATAAGTAATGTTTTGTTCAGTGGCGGATTTAGAGTTAGTGGGGTCCTGTGTGCAGCTTCATTTTTGGGACTCAGCCAAGAAAAAGAGCATTCTCTCTTACTCCCCCATGCCCTGCTTTCCATTCTTTTTTTTCTCATCCTCCTCCTATATTATAAGTAATAGGAAGTAAATGAAAATAAAGTGAAGTACCTTGATTGTTTTTGTAGTCTAACTTTTTTTCTACAGACCACTTGAAAATTGCTAAGGGTCTTAGCGGACCACTTAATGATCTTTCCAAATATTGTTTGTATCGTTAGCTAACTATTGTAAAGTGCTTTGGATAAGAGCACTTTATATAAAAAAAAAGTAAAAAAACCAGTAGGGTGCAGGGTCTGTCCAGGAGTTAGGATGTGGGAGAAGGCTCAGGTTGGGGTGTGGGGTCTGGGAGGGAGTTAGGGTGCAGGAGCGGGTTGGGGTGGGGGGGGTTGACCGGGAGTTAGGATGCAGGAGAGGGCTCAGGGTTGGGCAGGAGGTTGGGGTGTGGAGCACTTACCTGGGGCAGCTTCTGTTTGGTGCGAGGGGTGCAGGTGGGGATGTGGGGGGGGGGTGAAGGAGCTCCTGTTTGATGCTCAGGGCGGGGGTCAGGGCAGGGGATGTGGGGGGCTGGGTGTGTGTGGGGGTGCAGGAATCAGGGAGGTCAGGGGGCTGTGGGTGTGGAGGGGTGGGCCAGGTGTATGTGGGCCACTCCAGCCCCCTGCTCTGAGCGGCTCAGTCGCGACCACTGGGTTACCTTACCTGGCTGGCTGGTGGATGCGTCCCTGCCCTGCCGCTGCTCCTGTTTGCTGCCAAAGGGAGCTGTGGGTGGCAGCACCAGAACATGAGAGCTGAGACCCCGCAGGCCTGCCCCTCCCTTTCCCTTGCTTTTTTCCAGGGGCCGCCAGCAGCAGTGCATGCCAGGGACTGCACCTGCGCTGCCCAGTGTCCAGAGGAGCAGGGTTGCAGGACAGGCGTGGACAGACGCCCCACCAGGGGAGCGCTCATGCCTCCCCTACAGCATGCCCCCAGCCCCTCACCTGTCTGCCTGACTCTTGAGCTGGGAGCCAGATTCTCGGGCTGGGAGAGCGCACCGCATGCTGTGCCTCCAGCACGGCTCTTAAACGGCTCCCTCCCTGCTCTCCCCCACAGTTTCTGCCCCCACAGCAGTCCCCTCTGGCAAGGGTGCTGGACGATACTGGGCTGCCCGGCCCATGCCAGGGCACTGTGTGTTTCATTGTAAATCTGCCTCTGGTTTTGTCAGTGTCATTTCAAGCACTCAGCCAAGCTTACCTCCTTTCCCTGCTGCTGGATTCAATCCTCACAAGATGTGTTTGTTAATCATACATTCCTAATTAGAAAGAAAAAGTTTGGTGAATGTCAAGAAATATATAGGAATTGAAACTTAATTGATGTTTCAGTGCTTGAGAAAAGATTGGGAATAGTTTAAACAATTTGTTTCACAGCCAGCTGTGAAAGTGACTTATAGTGACAAAATATATTACAACCCATTAAAAAATACCCAAGCATTTTGGACGTATCACGAGCAGTGAGGTAATAGATATTTCATTTCTGCTGCACTTTAATGCATCTGTAACGTGATGACACTCTCAAACAATAATCTGAATAGCCTATCAAAGGAACCATTTATTATTATTTACATTAGGGACATAAATTCATAGATTCTAGGACTGGAAGGGACCTCGAGAGGTCATCGAGTCCAGTCCCCTGTCCGCATGGCAGGACCAAATACTGTCTAGACCATCCCTGATAGATATTTATCTAACCTACTCTTAAATATCTCCAGAGATGGAGATTCCACAACCTCCCTAGGCAATTTATTCCAGTGTTTAACCACCCTGACAGTTAGGAACTTTTTCCTAATGTCCAACCTAGAGCTCCCTTGTTGCAGTTTAAACCCATTGCTTCTGGTTCTATCC